CCAGGAGGCTGGAGCTGGGGGAGGGGCTGCTCTGCCTGGTCCTCTTCCCCTCTCCTTCCCCTCTCCCAGCCTGACACCTGTGACTCTGGCCGCCAGGCAGCCAGCGCTCAACCACTGGGTCTGTGCATGCAAGCAGCAGACGCCTTGAGACCCAGGGTCGGGGGGCAGTGGGACCTTGCGCACAGCCAGCCCGAGGTCGGACTGAGCGTGTCGAGTGCTGGCAAGGCCCCAGCACTAGAGGTGTGTGTGCACATGTGCGGGTGTGCATGCCGGTGGGGGGAGGGGGGCAACGGTCCCTCCCAAGTGAAGGAGGGGTCATCTGCATGAGAAAGGGGCCAGCAGGTTGCCCCTGGGCTGGACTCCTCATCCTCTCCGGACCCCATCCCCCACCTTCCTGCTCAGAGCCTGCGTGTGTGTACACACATGTACGTGGGGGCACACCCAATGTGTGTTGTGTGGGTGAGGGGCCCACAGACATGCTTTGTGTTGCATGAAGGTGAGTGAGTGTGACGTCCAGTGTGTATGCACGCAGATGTGTGTGGAGGGAGCGTGTGACACCCAGTGCCTGTGCAAACTTGAGTGAGTGGGTGTACATGCATGTCTGCACGTGTGAGACCTGGAACACTGAGTGTGTGCACGTGTGCAGTCACAGGTTGCTGGGTGGGCCCCGAGACCAGCAGGGCTCATTCCTGACTAGGAGTATCCTCTGTTCTTCCTGGGGCTGAGCCTGCGTGGGCTGGTCAGGCCTGAATGATTTGGAGTCTGACGATCCCAAAATAGTTCTGGTAGCCTGAGCTACCCTCCCCAGGCTGGGTCTGGGGCCTCAATGGCCCTTTGTCTCTCTGAAGGCATCCAGCCCCTGTGGGGGGCTCAGACTCTGACTGGGGCTGGGAGGGATGAGGCTGCCTGCCAGTTCCCCTCCCCCAGGCCAAGCCTGGTAGGCCATAAGCCCCATCCCAGTGTTGGCCAAGTGGGCCAGCCCCCTCCACCACTGGGCCTCTGAAGGCCAGCCCATTTGCTGGCAGATCTCAGGGTCTCTGTGTGGGGGAGGCCTCCCCTGCCAGCCGCCCCCTGGGGCTCCCACAGATCCCCAGGCTAACTCTTCTACACCCTGGTTCCTTTACTCCCCCTGCTGTGGAGCCATCCAGGATGTCCCATAGCTTCGATGACTGCAGCAGACAGGGCCCATGTGCAGGCAGGTGCTCAGTGGGCATTGCCAGGCCTTTGACCCCGGCAGTGTCCATGGGGTCCTCTCTGAGCCAAGGGATGCAGATGGCAGTCCCGGGGGGCTACAGTGAGAAGCAAGGGAGAGAATGTGTGGCTTGCTTGGGCTCCCCACCCCAAGTCCCTGGGCTTTGGGCCAAGCCCGCCCTGAGCAGATAAACAGACCCCACTCTGGGTGCTCTGGGCCCAGGGTGGTGCCCCGGGGAGCCGCTGGCACTATCAGTGTGGTGTGGGCAGTGCCGAGGTCTGGTGAGGTGGGGGGTGGAGGGGAGGCTCCCTGAGGAGGGGATGAGGCTAGCGGGGGCCAGGGTCTTCAGGTGGCTTGATGGATTGCTGCCCTGAGACCATCGTCTTGGGGGAACCACTTTGTTTATTCGCTTTTCCTGCAAAGTTTCGTTAGAACCTGAGGTTCCAGGGCTCCAAGAAGTGTGAAGACCTCTGCTGTGGGTGACAGGGGACCCTGACATGGCGGGCTGGCCCCCTATGGGATGTGGCACTGGTGTGCGCTGTGAGACAGAAGGAGTCAAAGGAGATGGACCCGGCAGAACTGGGTGCTGGCTGGAGGTGGCTGCCCCGCTGAGGATGGTTGGGGGGCTAGAGGAGCCTGCCTGGCCTGGAGGGAGTGAGTGGGGTGGGGACGCCAGGGACATGTGTGTGAGGCAGCTGGATAGTGGTGAGGTGGAGGGACCTTGGGAGGGCCCAGCGGGAGGCGTGGCAGGAGCCAAGGCACAGAGATAGCCATTGGCACCCTGGGATGGTGCCACCGTGGATGAGTGGAGAGTTGGGGTGTCACCAGGAAGAGTCTGTTCCAGGGCCGGGCAGAGAGGTCCACAGACCTGGGCAAGGACTCCAGGGGGCTAGGTGGTCAGTGCTTCTTTCCCAAGATGGACTGAGATGATGCCTAAAAGTGACAGGGGTGGCACTGGTGGCTGTGGCCACAGCAGTTTGGCTGAAAGGGGTACCTACTGACAGGTGTGCAAGCATGAGTGTGAGTGAGTGTGAGACTGAGTGTGAGAGGGATGGGACGGTGGTGCAGTTAATGTCTTTTCAGCTGGGGTGGGAAGTGGGTCAGTGGCCCTTCAGGGGACTGACCCGGAGGAGTCTTGGGATGGGGTGGGGTGCAGCCCAACCCCAAGGTGAAGGGGGTCCTCGTGCCTGGGAGGCTGTGCTTCCTCTCCAGCCCCCAGAAGGGCTGGCGACTCTAGGAGGGGCAGGTGGCCAAGGTCCTTGCAGGGGCCCAGGGCCCTGTGACCAGGTCCAGGCTGGAAGGGGCCAATTGTGGTAGGTGGGACTGCGGGTGGTGTAGGGATGGGGGTGCAGGGGCGTGGACGTGTTAGTCATAGAGATGGTCACCTGTGGGGTCCTGGTCGCAGAGAGTGGGACGTGACTGGTGTGGATAGAGGGGACGGGGTACGACCCGGGGCCTCAAACAGGGGCTGGGGAAGGGGCGGCCTCAGGGGGTGGATGTGCGGAGCCTGAACTGGGACAGGAGGCCCTGCTGTCTCAGGTGGGCCGCGCCCCGGGCCCTGCTGTGACGCCACGGCCCCGACGTTCCCGGGGCGGCCTCCGGGGGGCGCTCCAGGCTCGCGGGACCGCCTCGGGCGTCCCTCGGGGATTTGCATACCGCTTATTTACATAGAACTTATTTACATGGAAGGGAGTTGAGGTGTGCGGTTGGTCTGAAGTGTTGCTGTCAGTTCCCCGGGAGGGGCGAGCGCATCATGCCGCCCCCACCCTCCGTATTAGACCCAGTACCTGAGGGCCCCCCCACGCACACAGTGCCAGGGTGGGGTCGGCAGGAGCAGACACTCGCAGGCACCACGGCCACACGCAGCCCGCAGCCTAGAACCCGGCTTTCCACGCGGGGCGCGCGCACCGCTCAGCCCTGCCCCTGCCCTCAGGGGGAGCGGAGCGGGAGGGCCCTCCCAGCCCTGACCCCAACGCGGCCCCAGCTCCTACCCCGCTCTGTCCCTGTCCCCGCCCCTACTCCTCCACCCACCCCGCCCTTCCCGAGCCCCTGCTCCTCTCCCAACCCCAGCGCCCCTAACCCCCACTCCCACGCCCCCACCCCGCCCCAGCAACTACTACCCCCCACGCCCCTGCCCGAGCCCCCGTCTCCCCAGCCCCTACCTCCTGCCGTCTCTCCTCCCCCCGTCTCCCAGCCCCTACCTCCTGCCGTCTCCCCTGCCCCCGTCTCCCCAGCCCCTACCTCCTGCTGTCTCCCCAGCCTTACCCCGGCGCCCCTGTCTCCCTTTTGTGCAGCCGCCCTCCGGTCCTCACCCGCCCGCCCGATCCCTCTTTGCGCCGCCAGCCGCGACTCCCCGCGGACGCCGGGGTCCCCGGAGGCGTCCTCCTTTGTCTCTGCTCCCCGCCCTCCCTCTGCGGCGCCCCTCGCCCCTCACTCACCGCCGCAGCCCCGAAGAGGGCGAGGGGAGCTGGCGCTGCTCGCCGGAGGCGGGAGCCGAGGCGCGGCCCTGCGCAGCCGGCTCTTTATTCTCTGGCTCCTGCCGCGCGCTCGCCCCTCCTGCTCGCTGCCATCGCCGCTCCCGCCTCTGCCCGGGACAGGAGCAGCCGGGACCCTGCGCGCCTTGCGCCCGCCGCCCCGCCGAGTCCCGGCGACGGACAGCCAGCTCCCCTCGGACCGCCTCTCCAGGGTGGCCGGGCGGGCAGGATCGGGGCTGCGGGGCTCCGGGGGCTCCAGGAAAACTGAGCACAGCCCGAGCCCGGCGGAGAGCTGCTGGCGCCTCTGGCCCAGGCCCGGACGGTTCGTGGACAGCAGGGGTGGCGCTGGCTCTGTTCCTCCCGCGCCTCCCTCTGAGCCCAAATTTGGGATTTCTACTCGGGAGAATTCTGCACATCTCCCATTGTGAGCCCTGAGAGATGTGGAGGGGCCTTGGCGTCCCCTGGGCTGTGACGGGAACTGAACTTTGAGAACACAGCTGCTGTCAGCTGCCTCAGGGGTCCCAGAATGGGGGGAGTAGCCCCGAACAGGCCTAAGGGCACCTGGTGACGACGCCCGCACCCTGAGAGTGGGGGCCGTGGAGCCAAGAGCCATGCCTCCCCTGCCGCTGGAGCGGGACCCCCGGCAGCAGCGCGGGGTCTCCCTGCTGGTGCGCTATTTCATGATCCCCTGCAACGTCTGCCTGATCCTCCTGGCCACGTCCACGCTGGGCTTCGCGGTGCTGCTCTTCCTTAACAACTGTACGTGGCTGTGGGCGTGGCCACCCCAAGTGACCCTGCTTCTGCTGGCTGAGCTCCTGCTGTCTGTCCCCCAAGGACCAGGGGACAGGCAGGGACACAGAGAGGCCACCAGCATCTTCTGGGGATGGGACGGGGCATTCTCTGGATCCCTGGGCCCCTTGAAGCCTGTCCTTGGGCTCATGGGGGAGCTGACCCTCATCCTAAGCTACAGAAACAGTTTTCTTTGGGAGTTGAGGAGAAAGGGGGCAGCTGGCTACACTGGGATTGGGGGCTTTGGTGGGGCCTGGGCTTATCTAGGGAACAGGTAGCCGCCCACCCCTGCCACTGGAGCCCCCCGGACAGGTATCAGGCTGTGACAGTGCAGCTGGAGGGGCAGAGGAAAGCAAGGGCCTCTACCTTTGTCCCTCCGAAGCCTCGGCCAGTCAGGGCTCAGAGAGGGGCTGGGTAAAGGATGTGGGCAGGCAGGGATGTAGAGGTGTGGGCAGGGGTCGTGACCCCTCCGGGCTGGGCAGAGGGACAGGCTATGGAAGGACCTGCTCAGAGAGACCTAACTTAAAGATTTGTTTTTTTTCCAGACAAACCTGGGACACACTTTACGCCAGTGCCCCCGACGCCTCCGGACGGTGAGTGGGCTCAGCTGGTGACAGTGTGGGCTGGTGACACTGTGAGCTCGGGAGTCTGCCTGGAGGCAGTGGCACTCGCGGGCATCGGGGCCCTTCTCGGGGTGTGCACACCAGACGTGTTAGATGTGTCTGGAGCAGGGAGGAGGCTGGATGAGGGAGTCTGGGTCCTTCTGGGGAGTCCACAGTGGGGACAGCAGAGCAGGCATGGGGTCTGGCGTCCCTGGGCCTGGCCGTGTCCTGGCCGCCAGTCATTGCACACAGGTTTGGCTCTAACGTCTCTGGGCCTCGGCCTCCTTGGCTGAGAAATTGGGACTAGCTCCCGGAGCCCACAGGTTGTGCGATGGGTCAGACAATGTGTGCAGAGGCTGGGGGAGTGGGGGCGCAGGGGGCGGGCCTCAACAGGACCAATGACGTCTGAGGGGGATTGGAGAGCCAGTCCCGGAGGCTGAGCTGGCTGGGGCCTGGCCTTCCCGGGCGGCCTGCTGGTGTGCGGGGCCGCTGTAATTAAGCTGATCTGAGGGGGAGGAGGGGAGGAGCTGATGCCCGCAGAAGGGCAAGGGCAAGGGGCGGCCTGGGGTCCTCTGGGGAGCGGGTTTGCTCACAGCACCTGGGCCCCCACTGGGCAGGGGAGCCTCACCCTGAGCCCAGGTTCTCAGAAGTCACATACAGAGGGTGTGCCTGCATGGGGCGGGCTGTGGGAGGAGGGAGGTCTGCGCTGGGCTGGAGGCTCAGGCCCAGGACGGAGTGTCCCGTCGGTGGTACACAGAGGCCCGGAGCCGCCTGGATGTAAAGGTCGGGCTCAGGTGGGGGGACACCCTCCTCCCAGCGTCCTCAGCCTCCTCTCCTGGAGCCCGGAAGCCTGTGCCTCTGCTTTCCTTTACACACACACTGGCCCTCCCCACAGTGGCACACGTGGGCCCCACACCCACTCCGATCCCATCGCACACTCGGGACAGCTACACGCCGTGGCGTCATCATCCCTCCCAGGCGCACACACCGCCTATTTGTGGCTACAGGCAGGGCTCAGGGCATCTGCTCTGTTTCCCAACCCACCAAGACCAGGAGGGGAGTTAAATATACCAGCTCCAACCGGTGGCTATAAAAAGCCGCCACCGCCTCCAGCATTGCACATGCTGAGGGGGCCTTGGGCTGCAGGGAGCGAGACTGCGCCAGGGAAGCTGAGTGGCCAGAGAGGCTCCTGCAGGAGGCTGTGCTGGGGCAGGTGTGGCAGCCCCCAATGTGACATGTGAGGGGCATGCGGCTCGTGGGTGCCTGGGGACTCCACCTGCGTTTGCGAGGGGCAGTTTGCATGGGGATCAAGGGCTAACACAGGGAAGGCCTGAGTGCTGCCTGGCACACGGTGTGGTGTTACGACAAGCCATACCTGCACGCGTGTGCATGTGTACGTGTGCGATCGCACCTGTCTGTGCACATGGTTTCTGTGCTTGTGTACGTTTAAACCTGTCTTGAGCCTCTGTGATCCCCTGGTCCCATGGGGGAGCAGACTTGTCAACGGGCGCTCATGAAGCGGGCACCAAGGGGATGCACGGGAGCAGCCCGCACCTGACCTGACAGCCTGAGCTTGGGCCTGGGGAGGAGAGGCTATTTCAGCCAGGACAGGGGACAAGCACCATACGCTCCATACCTCAGCTTTGCCCACGTCACGTCACCAGCTGCCCTGGGAGCCAGGAGACTGCCCCTCGGGAACTGCCACCCTGGGCGAGCAGGGAGCAGGCTCCACAGAGTGATGGGAGGTGACAGCGCTGGGATCTGGACCTGCCCGGCTAACTTGGGGGTCAGTGCTGAGGCCTCAGCTCGATGGCCCCCTGAAGGCGCCCTGGCCCCTCCTCTGCCCTCGGCCACCTCCAGTCTAATAGCTGGTCCCAGGGAGCCTGTCCCCGAGATATCTCTGGCCCACTGCACCGGCCCCTCGCCTTCCAGTCCATCCTCTTGCACGTGACCCACTGCCCCAGCGTCACTCATCAAGAGTTACTGCCATCATCATCACCTTCCTCCCTAGTCTCTCTTTCGGGGGACAAAGCAGAACCCTGTGCTGTGGAGGCAGGGTGCAGGTCTTAGTAGGTGAGGAACATGCAGCCATTGAGCAGTAGATGTCCTTGGCCAAAGGGTTGGGACCATGGGAGGAGTCTGGCTGGACCAAGGTGACCAGAGGGAGAGAGAGGCCTAGGGCACAGACACATACCACCTGGCAGAGGAGCCAGAGGTGCAATGAGGTGACCGGGCCCTTGGCCATGGGTCCAGACCTTGGGAGAGACCTTGGTCAGCAGGTCCAGTTGAAGCCGAACAGAGCAGCCAGCCGGACATCAGCAAGTGCCTGTAGATTTGGCTTGGGCGTCCCGAGGGCCTTGGGCAAGGGAGGGCTGACTGTGAGAGGGAAGCGCTGAGGGAGAGGGAGGGAGATGGAGAGCGTGAAGGAGGGGTCAGGTGGACGTGGTTGGAGTCTGGTTTGAGCCGCTGTAGTGATGGGTTGTTACTGTGGTTCTGGTGGCAGCTGACTCACCCCATACAGCTGGTGCTGCTCACCGTCAAGCCTTTGCAGACTTGGGCCCATTCAGCCTCACAACCACCCTGTTTGTGTGCTCTTTTGTCCCCATTCACAGGAAACGGATGCAGCGTTGAGGGCAGCCTGGCTCCAGGGTCTGGGGGTGGTGGGCAGGAGCATCAGTGGGCTAGGGACTGGAGGCTGGGGAGTCCACACGGGCCCCGCCCTTGTCTCAGGCCCCTGTTCACTCAGCCTGTGTGGGGTGGGGCAGGGACGACCAGACGGACAGGCAGGAGCCTGGGGTGGGCTGTTGCTGTGGCAATGACTAGCTCTAGCTCCCTGTGCAGCCAGCCCTCCTCCCTCCTCTGAGTTGAAGGTGCTTCCTTCAGCCCCACTTCCTGAGCCTGCTGGGAGGTGATGGGGTGGAGCCTCCCGGCCCCCCCATAACTTATTCATGATAATTGGACCCAATTAAACATTTATGAGATGGAGACAGCTGCAGCTTTAATGGGCCCGCCCCGCCTGTGGGTGTGCAGTTCTGGGTGGGGGTCCTGAGGAGTCAGCCTGCCCCCTGCCCCGGATGGCTCTGGGTTTAAATGTCTGGGCCTTCTTCATTCCTGCACTCGGGGATGTGGTCCAGAAGCAGAGGGTCAGGAGCAGCCACCCGCTGGGCTGCTGGAGAGGTTCGGTGATAGCATGTGTGCTGCAGCCCTCAGCTACAAAGTGAAGAACTAGAATGTGACAGAAACAGTGCCAGGTCTGCAGAGCCCTGTGCCCAGCCTCCCTGAGCATGAGGTGGGGCAGCAGGATGAGCAGGTGTGTGTGTGGGGGTGGGGACATTTACTGAGGTGGGGGCTCAGGAGGACAAGTGGGGGAGGATGAGGCCTGGGGGTGCCTGAGGGACCCGGAGAGATGCCCCAGTCAGCTTGTGGCTGGGTGGGGGGAGGAGGGCCAGGAACCTCAGAGGAGGCCACATCAAGAGCCACAGCAGAGCGTGGGCCTGGGGAGGCTGGCTGTGGGGGGTGTGGAAGGTGGGGAGGTGGGCAGAGAAGGGACTGCAGAGGCAGAGCCCACATGGGGACAGGCCCGAGGGGAAGGGTGGCTTCCGGGGAAGGGTGGCTTCTGGAGAAGCAGGAGAGGGAAGATCTGAGAAGGGAGACCTGGAGGGAGCCTGGGGGTAGGGCAATGTTGAGGCACCTCCCCCCCAGGGTGGAGCTCGTGACCTGACACCACCCC